CAGTTTTGGGGAGTTGGGTTTTTTCTGTTTAGTGGTGAGTTAGTTCTTGTTCTGGGGGTTAGTTCCTGTTTAGTTTTTGGGGGTCTTACTTATTCTGTTTAGTGGTGAGTCTAGTTCCCCTGTTCTTGGTTAGGTCCCTTCGTGGTAGTCTATTCTTGTCAGGGGGGAGTCTATTTCCCCGTTAGTGGTGAAATTAGTTCCCCTTTTTTTGTTGTGAGTCTGATTATTGTTTGTGGTGAGTCTGTTCCTCGTTCAGTGGTTATTTATTTTGTTTTATGGTGGTCTAGTTCCTGTTTAGGTGAGTCTGTATTTCCTTGGTTGTCTTTCTGTTCAGTGGTGGTTTAGTTTCTGTTCTGGTTGGCTAGTTTCCTCGGGTTTAGTGGTGAGTCTAGTTTTTGTTCATGGTGAGTCTGTTTCGTTTGTAGTTTTTCCTTGTTTGGGGGGAGTCTGTCCTTTTTCAGGGGAGTTTTCCCCTTTTCATGGGGTTGTAGTTTTTTTGTTTAAAGGGGGGTTAGTTCCTCTGTTCAGTGGTGGTCTGTAGTTCCTTCTTCGTGGTGATCTAGTTCCCTTTCAGTGGTTTGTCTGTAGTTTTTTGTTCAGTGGTAAGTCTAGTTCCTTGTTCAGTGGTAAACTGTTTATTCTGTTTTGGGGGGAGCTGTTTTATTTTGTTCAGGGTGGGCTAGTTTTCTGTCTGGTAAATTTTAATCCTTGTTCAGGGGGAGTCTGTAGATCCCCCTGTTTAGTGGTGAGTCTGTATTCCTCTTTCGGTTGAGTCTTTAGTTCTTGTTCATTGTGATCTGTATTCTTTGTTCAGTGGTAGTCTGTAGTTCCTCTGTTCGTGGTGAGTCTGTGTTCCCCGTTCGGGGAGTCTGTAGTTCTTCTGTTCATGGTGAATTGTAGTTTTTTTGTTCATGGGGGTTTAGTTATTTGTTTTAGTGGTGAGTCTAGTTTTCGGGTTTGTGGTATCTAGTTTTTTGGTTTAGTGGTAAATTTTGAGTCCCCCTTTTTCAGGGGGAGTTAGTTCCCCTTTTCAGTGGTAGTCTGAGTTTTTGTTCTGGGGATCGGTTTTTTTGTTTTATTTCCCCCGTTCAGTGTGAGCTAGTTTCCCCTGTTTAGTGGGAGCTGTTTCCTCTGTTCAGTTGAGTCTAGTTTCCCCGTTAGTGTGGGGTTTAGTTTTTGTTTTAGTTATTTTGTTCAGGGTGAGTTGTTTTTTTGTTAGTGGTGAGTCTAGTTTTTGTTCGTGGTGAGTTTTTTTTCTGTTGTGGGCGTATGTTTTTGTTTTCATGGTATTTGTTCCTCGTTCATGGTGAGCTGTTTATTTATTATGTTCCCTTTTTTTGGGGGCAGTTCCTCTTTCATGGTGAGCTAGTTTTGTTCAGGGGGGCTAGTTCCTTTTTCAGTGGTAGTTGTTCCCCTTTTCAGTGTTTGGGGGTTGTGTTTTTTTTTTTTGTGGTGATTGTAGTTTGATTTTTTTTTTTCATTAATCTACCTTTCATGGTACTTTTTTCTTTCAGGGGGGTTTTTTCCCCCAATTGAGGTTAAACGTTCCCAAGGGTCTTTTCCCTTTCAGGGTAAATTACCTTTATTTTAAACCTTCTTCTGTTTAAACCATTTTTTTCATCTTTTCCCCCCCAAATTTAGTCTTATTGGCATGAATTTTTTTATTTTCTAGGGTAACTTTAGGGTACCCAGATTTGTTTATTAAAAACCCTTGAGTTGTCTTCCAAATTTTTAAAATTTTTTTTTTTCATTCTTTTCATTAGTTTAAGTTTTCGGGTGGTTGGCAAAACCTTGGGGTTTTAAAAAACACTGAAGGGGGTGGTTTTTCTTCAGGGTTGGGGAAACTTTTTAGTGGGGGATTGTCCAAAAAGGGGGGCCCCATGTTTAAAAAAAGTAGATTTTTGTTTGTTGCCCCTTTTTGTCAGTTGGGGTCTTGAGTTTAAATTAAAGTTCCCCAAGGGAAAATCATTTTTTTTTGGGGTGGGTTTTTATTTCCTTGGGTAATGCCCTGGGATGGGGGGAAACCATGGTTGGCAAATTTAAGTTTGGTGACCATAGAGGGTTTCCAAGGGGTAATAAAAGGGGGGTTTGCCTTTTATTAATAAAATCAAATTTTTTTTTACTTTCCCTTTTAAACGGTCTTTTCCGGGGTGGTTTTCAAGGGGGTATGAAAATTCCCGGGGCAGGCCCCGTTGAATCAATTTTCCGTTGGGGGAAACCCTTTGTTTTTAGGTGGAATTTTGCCTTTAAATTCCCAAACCCCAGGGGAAAAAACTTAAACATTTTTAAGGGCGGATTTCCATGGGTTTAAAATTTATTTTGTTTGTTTATTTTAAATTGGGAAAAAAACCCCCGTTTTTTTAAATTTCCCCTTTGGGAACCTATTCCCCGGGGGGCCCTTTAACTTTGAATGGGATTTTTTTCAGTGGGGTTTTTCCCAAAAAAATTTGGGGGCCCTTTTTTTTTTTTGCTTTTTTTGGGAACAATTTTTTTGGGGGTGTTTTTTTTTTAAAAATTTTCAAAACGGCCCCCTTTCCCGGGGGGGCCTTTTTAAAACCCAAAAGGGGGGCCCAAACCTTTTTTTAACAAATTTAACAAAGGGGGGCCCAAATGCCCAAATTTTCCCCCCCAAAATTATGTAACAGTGATCAACCAAATTATTGGTCTAAGTTATTAAGAGTCTAACCTAGCATGAAAGTGCATCCTTTTAGCTGTGTGGGCTAATATAGTCAAAATGTTTGCCTTGGGGTAAGTTGAGCCAATGGCCATGGGGGAAATTTTGCCAATGGTTGAGCAAATTGAATTGTTTTCTTACCAGGCGTAATGCAAGGCATTATCACTGGGATATGAGGTAACAACAGGGGCTGGCCTATGTTAAAAGTGTAATAAAAAGTACAGAGTGTTTGTTTGTTGCACCCCCTTTTGCCCTCAGAACAGCCTCAATTTGTCGGGGCATGGACTCTACAAGGTGCTGAAAGCGTTCCACAGGGATGCAGGCCCATGTTGACTCCAATGCTTCCCACAGTTGTGTCAAGTTGGCTGATTGTCCTTTGATGGTGGACCATTCTTGATACACATGGGAAACTGTTGAGCGTGAAAAACCCAGCAGCGTTGAAGTTCTTGACACACTCAAACCGGTGCGCCTGGCACCTACTACCATGCCCCGTTCAAAGGCACTTAAATATTTTGTCTTGCCCATTCACCTTCTGAATGGCACACATACACAATCCATGTCTCAATTTTCTCAAGGCTTAAAAATCATTCTTTAACCTGTCTCCTCCCCTTCATCTACACTGATTGAAGTGGATTTAACAAGTGACATCAATAAGGGATCATAGCTTTCACCTGGATTCACCTGGTCAGTCTATGTCATGGAAAATGTTTGTACACTCAGTGTATGTAGATATCCTTGTTAGAAAGAATACCATATTTCCCTTGACGGAATGTAAATTGTAAAAACATTCTCAACTTACCCAAACACTCTCCCCTACACTGTAAAACAAAGGCCAACTTAAACAATTGCTTAATCAGCGTTATTCTGTGAGTTGAGTAGACTTCAAATGGGCAAGAATTGGAACTAATGTGTTAAAGTTTGTTTACTCAACAAACTTTGAAAAAGGAAACACTGTGTTGGTTCAGCAATATGCCCAAATGTTGAGCAAACTCACAATCCTATTGCAGCTGGTTGCCTTACAATTATACTTTGAATATATATTTTTTATTTTTACAGTGTAGTGTCTTCTGCATCTGCACAGATTTAACTAATTGTCTGTTGTTGATCAAGCGGCTCCGCCTCAAACCCAGTTGCCACCATCAACAATACTATTTTGGCATGCATTGCCAATCAAATGTTGGGAGCGTATCCTATTTTGAGTTGAGTATGCTGTGTGTAGCGCGTAGCTTATCGTTAGCGCAGCATTAACGTATCAGAGCTCTGGGTTTGATATACAGGACCAGGTGCAGGATTGGCGTCTGTGGGAACTTTCACCACTGCATCTCTGGTAGTGTAGCCTACTTCCAAAACAGCCCCACCATCACGGTGACCCAGAGACAGTTGTTTAGCAGCCTTACACTCTAAAAACAAACATGATTTTTTAACCCGTTGTAGAGTAGAGTTAGTGATAAATGTTGAGTTTATTTAAGTAAACACAGTCCTTGTTTATTTCCTATTGGAAACATGTGTAGTTGGTGTCTTTGCAGTGCTTGTTGAGGAAGCGCAGGCAGCAGTGTTTTTGTAAGACATGGCTCAGTGTCTAAGGGTACACACGTGATTACTGTATATTAGATTGGCCTGTTGTTTGTTTTTCTACAGCGTAGGACATCACAGCTGATCTAGACCCTGTTTGACCTGTCCCTAGACATGTTTCAGTAGAAACAAGTTAACCTCGCCAGATTCATAACGGCAATAATATACATTTTAGGTTTTGAGACTGACACATGAACGGAGGAGTTCTTAACTTACTCTATGGTCAAGGACAGGGCTCGGATTACGTCACAATGAGGATTTAAACTTCCTGAAATAACAGCTTTCCTTTCTTTCTGTCAGTAAATGTTTTATAGGCTGTCTAGCCCTACATGTAGGCAGGACTGTTTAGGTAACATATGGTTCCTCACTCTAGTAGTAGTAATATTGCAAATGCCTACCTTTTCCACATGGTCTATCTAGGGGCTAGGGTTTGAAATAGGGCCATTCCTATCTACCAACGTTCTTACATAATGGGCTGTCATTCATTACACATGGCTACAGACTATGGCCTAGATTCAATCCGGAGCGTGGAAGATCCGTGCTATAGCGCAATCGAAATTTAAAGGCAATATTCCTGTGTTCACGGAGACTGCATTCACCGTAAACGCTGCATATGTCAGTTCAATCGGAAATTACCTTTACATTTCAATCGCTCTACACCGCGGATCTTCCACGCACCGGATTGAATCCAGCCCTATGTCTCCTCCCCACCCTGTCTCCCTTCATGCCCCTGCAGCCATTTGTCATCCACGACATGGAGACGCTGCAGCTGGCAGAGCAGAACCTGGTGGCCAAGATGGTGGGCACGGCCGGGGGCCATCTGCTGGAGAAGGAGGCTGAGGTCCGCATCTTCCACTGCTGCCAGTGCACCTCCGTGGAGACAGTCACAGAGCTGACTGAGTTCGCCAAGTCTGTCCCCGGCTTCTCCAGCCTGGACCTGAACGACCAGGTGACTCTGCTGAAGTACGGAGTGTACGAGGCACTGTTCGCCCTGCTGGCCTCCTGTATGAACAAGGACGGCCTCCTGGTGGCCTACGGATCGGGCTTCATCACCAGGGAGTTCCTCAAGAGTCTGAGGAGGCCCTTCAGCGACATGATGGAACCCAAGTTCCAGTTCGCCATGAAGTTCAACGGGCTGGAGCTGGATGACAGTGACCTGGCCTTGTTTGTGGCCGCCATCATCTGCTGTGGAGGTAAGAGAGAGAGGGAGAGGCTGGGATCTGGGGTTAATGACCACTAATTAGTACACCAATGGGTAGTTACCACTAATTGGTAGTTAATTACTGCTGTTATTACTTATCTTCTTGATGGATTTGCTCTTCACCTCTATGCCAATCATAATGTCTCTTCTTGGGTTGGCATAATCCACCTTCTTTCTCTAACTTTCCTCTCCTCTTTCCTCTCTCTCAGACCGTCCTGGCCTGGTGAACGTTGGCCACATCGAGCGAATGCAGGAGAACATTGTTCAGGTGCTGCGGCTCCACCTGCTGGCCAACCACCCAGACGACACCTTCCTCTTCCCCAAGCTGCTGCAGAAACTGTCCGACCTCCGGCAGCTGGTCACCGAGCACGCTCAGTTGGTCCAGGAGATCAAGAAAACAGAGGACATGTCGCTCCACCCCCTGCTGCAGGAGATCTACAGAGACATGTACTGAGATACTGAGCCTAGAAAGGAGGTTGCCCGCTATTTTGGGGACAACTGCGTGAACAGTCTCTCTGAACAGTCCCACCGTGATAGGATTGAACCACTGGACCCCCAGATGCAGGGTTGCTCATCTTTCTCGGGAGAGATGAATCCCAGACAGGACAGGACAGGACAATAGGACTATACTCTGGGCACCTGCAGTGGGGTCCACTACTCCCACAGGGTCCTATAGGGCCGTATTATCTGTGTGGAGGGGCAATATGAAGCTGAATTGAGTGTCCTGTCCCAGTGTTTGTCCTAACTAGAGAACATGTATTGGGTTGGGTTTAGACACCTTTGTCCAACGTCAGAAAGAAGTACACGGATCAAATAATAAATTGCTTTTTTGGGTAACAATGACTGTGTTTAGACAGGCAGCCCAATTCGGATATTGTTTTCACAAATTGGTCTTTTGACCAATCAGATCAGCTCTGAAAAAGATCTGATATGAAAAGATCTGATGTGACTGGTCAAAAGACCAATTAGTGGAAAAAAATGCAGAATTGGGCTGCCTGTCTAAACGCAGCCTAAGATTCAGTCAGACTATAGCCACCAGAATCTCTGTTTAGGGGATCACTGTCCTATACAGTACACACATCTCTGACCTATTCAGGCCCTTGAATTATGAACAGCAGGACGTATCGACAGAATCACCACTCCAGCAGTATCTTAATAACTACGTCATTTTGTACCGAACTTCAGAGTGAGAGAAAATAATAATAATGTTTCACACCTATTTTGCAGTAAAGACACCCAAGCGACTTCAATGTTGAATACAGACTTCAGATGTGAGTGACTGTGTCTCACAGTAAGGCAGCTTTTTAGCTAGAGGTTATGGGATTGCATGGTCAATGAGGTCCTCATGTGTCTGTCTCTCTCACTGGTGTGTGTGTCTCTCCTATAGTCAGTTTCCAACGACACCACACTGTACCAGGTTACTGTCCCTCAGATGTGGCTGCAGCGGCTAAAAATCCAACTCACATGACAAGTAAATGTAACATATTGCTTCATTCATTTTGGGAAACCTCTCCTGTGTGTTTTCAAGCTCTTGCTCCTGCTTAGGCTATAACTAATCATGCCTTAGAAATGTGGATTCCTCCGAAAAAAACGACTTTAGCTATAATTCAACTGTTAATTTAACATTTGCATATTTTCTCATGTTATCATGAATGAGGCTACAGAGTTTCAGAAAGTGCTCCCCCTATAGCCCACTGAGTTTTTAGTCCTTTGCTCTTTTGGGCAAAGACCTACTGCCTCAGTTGGAGGGACACATTATTGGCCTCCACAGGCTTCCGTTGTTCAAACGTCAGTTACTTATCAGTCATATTTCGACCGAGAATTCACTATGTGCTGTTTAGTGATGGTTTTCACCTTGCCCTTCATCTCATTTTCCTCTCCTATCTAGACCAAACTCTAACGTAGAGGCTTTGGTGTGCATTATATTCATTTTATAAAACCAATGTAAAGCTCAAAGATTTTTCATTTTCAATACACGAACAAAAGCAAACAAACAACCATGTCAATAGTGTTCGTATCACCCTTCTGAACATGGCTCCATCAGGACATTTGTTTGTAAGTGGTTTGATTTCATTCAAAACAGACTGATTCGGAAATTACCAGTCAGAGATTCACTGTGTAAATGCACCCACAATGCAACACTAAAGCACAGGGTGCTTACGACTTATGATATGAGACGCTTTTATATACTGTACCTCTGTTATTATGCCTTTTTGACAAAACACACACAAGTATTTGGCACTCCATCTTGTTTTGTATACTGGTATTAAAGGGCTAATATGACTTCAAACTACATTAAAACCTTAAGAAAGGCATATTGAGAGCAGATTTACAGCATTTTAATTTTACCAGACAGCCTGTTATTTTTCACTCTCAATTTCAATTTCAATTCAATTTCAATTCAAATTTTCTCTCTCTCTCTCTCTCTCTCTCTCTCTCTCTCTCTCTCTCTCTCTCTCTCTCTCTCTCTCTCTCTCTCTCTCTCTCTCTCTCTCTCTCCCCTCTCTCTCTCAGTGCCTCCTTTGGCTTGCATTGGTCCTGTAATTACTCCATAGAATAGGGTTCAGTGGGTATTATGCTACTAATTACACCTGGATGTTTGAGTCTAGTAGAGATTAAATACTAAAACTGCCTCATCAAACCAGCCATTAATCCTTCACAGAACTGTTGGGAATGTTTCAAAGACAGAATGAAATAATCATTAACGTGTACATGTTTGTCTGATGGAAAGGATATACAGTACGTGTGTATTTTCTGTGAGGAAATGTTTTTTGTTCTTTGCTTACCTTACCAAATTCTCATCTGAATCCACAAATCAATGTTTTCTATTGGTGTAATGGACCTAGCTTCACTCTCTGCACCACGTTGTATAAATGCTTTGTACGTACAGTGCCTTGCAAAAGGATTCATCCCCCTTGGCGTTTTTTCTATTTTGTTGCATTACAACCTGTAATCGAAATTGATTTTTATTTGGATGTCATTTAATGGACATTCACAAAATAGTCCAAATTGGTAAAGTGAAATGAAAAACATAACTTGTTTCAAAAAATTCAAAAGAATAAATAACAGAAAAGTGGTGCGTGCATATGTATTCACCCCCTTTGCTATGAAGCCACTAAATAAGATCTGGTGCAACCAATTACCTTCAGAAGTAACGTAATTAGTTAAATAAAGTCCACCTGTGTGCAATCTAAGTGTCACATGATCTGTCACATGATCTCAGTATATATACACCTGTTCTGAAAGGCCCCAGAGTCTGCAACACCACTAAGCAAGGGGCACCACCAAGCAAGCGGCACCATGAAGACCAAGGAGCTCTCCAAACAGGTCAGGGACAAAGTTGTGGAAAAGTACAGATCAGGGTTGCGTTATGAAAAAATATCTGAAACTTCGAACATCGCACGGAGCACCATTAAATCCATTATTTAAAAAAATTAAGATTACGGCACCACAACAAACCTGCCAAGAGAAGGCCGCCCACCAAAACTCACGGACCAGGCAAGGAGGGCATTAATCAGAGAGGCAACAAAGAGACCAATGATAACCCTGAAGGACCTGCAAAGCTCCACAGCAGAGATTGGAGTATCTGTCCATAGGACCACTTTAAGCCGTACACTCCACAGAGCTGGGCTTTTCTGAAGAGTGGCCAGAAAAAAGCCATTGCTTAAAGAAAAAAATAAGCGAACACGTTTGGTGTTCTCCAAAAGCCATGTGGGAGACTCCCCAAACATATGGAAGAAGGTACTCTGGTCAGATGAGACTAAAATTGACCTTTTTGGCCATCAAGTAAAACGCTATGTCTGGCGCAAACCCAACACCTCTCATCACCCCGAGAACACCATCCACAGTGAAGCATGGTGGTGGCAGCATCATGCTGTGGGGATGTTTTTAATCGACAGGGACTGGGAAACTGGTGAGAATTTAAGGAATGATGGATGGCACTAAATACAGGGAAATTCTTGAGGGAAACCTGTTTCAGTCTTCCAGAGATTTGAGACTGGGACGGAGGTTCACCTTCCAGCAGGACAATGACCCTAAGCATACTGCTAAAGCTACACTTGAGTGGTTTAAGGGGAAACATTTAAACGTCTTGGAATGGCCTAGTCAAAGCCCAGACCTCAATCCAATTGAGAATCTATGGTATGACTTAATGATTGCTGTACATCAGCGGAACCCATCCAACATGAAGGAGCTGGAGCAGTTTTGCCTTGAAGAATGGGCAAAAATCCCAGCGGCTAGATGTGCCAAGTTTATAGAGACATACCCCAAGAGACTTTATGTTTTGTTTACCCCATATGTAACTCTGTGTTGTTGTTTTTATCGCACTGCTTTGCTTTGCTTTATCTTGGCCAGGTCGCAGTTGTAAATGTGAAATTGTTCTCAACTGGCTTACCTGATTAAATAAAGGTTAAATAAAAAAAAATTAAATATAAAATTAAAATTAAAAAGGTGGCTCTACAAAGTATTGACTTTGGGCGGGGTGAATAGTTATGCACGCTCAAGTTTTCCGTTTTTTTGTCATATTTCTTGTTTGTTTCACACAAAAAAAATATTTTGCATCTTCAAAGTGGTAGGCATGTTGTGTAAATCAAATGATACAAACCCCCCAAAAAATCAATTTTAATTCCAGGTTGTAAGGCAACAAAATAGGAAAAATGCCAAGGGGGGTGAATACTTTCGCAAGCCACTGTAGATTCAGTGATTATGTGATTGCTTGCCCCAACTTTTACCAGAGGTATGCAAGATACTAACTATTGTTGGGTATGTTTTGTATTCCTCTTTGTCTGTTAAATACTTTTCAATGTTTTAAATTGTACAGAAATCTAGGTATGTTTTTGCTTAAGCGCTACCTAATTTGACAATGTTATAATTGAGTTGAATCATATTTTTATACTAAAGCTAAAGTATATGAAATGGTTTCGTTGAATAACTAGGTTGAAGAGTGCAATGTAAATAGAGTAGCTAAGTAACTGGTGATACAACCATAGATGTGATTCCCAATGGGGACATTCCTTTTGTTAATTCCCACACTATATATATATATATATAGAGAGAGAGGGAGAGGGAGAGGGAGAGGGAGAGGGAGAGGGAGAGGGAGAGGGAGAGGGAGAGGGAGAGGGAGAGGGAGAGGGAGAGGGAGAGGGAGATTTTGACACTATATTTTCACTCGACAACATGATCTTGAACAGACATAAGTAAATCATTGGTGTTAAGACTGGTAATAAGCTATCATGGCACAGATCCTACATCAATACTTTAGGTTTTCTTCTATGCTATGGTCTCAGGTTGAAGATTAGGTCATAAAGGGGATGATTAGGTTTAGATTAGGTAGATTAGATTAATTTCACTATTCAGAACATAAATGCTCAATAACTGCCTCATCATGTTCTTCAAGCCAAACGGTTTGTTGTTTTTGTGGCCCTACTATATCCCTTCTCTGTTTTCATACATATA